TTTAATTATATTATAGCCTATTATATATTTTGTGTGATCCTAATTATTTTATTTTAATTATTTTATTCCTTTTTATAGACTTAATTTCTGTTTTTCTCCTTTCACAGAAGCACTGCAGGTGCATGATGCGACGATTGAATCCTCACGGTCTTGTTTATGCTGCTGCTATTCGCGCATATAAAGCTAAAAAGCCCTGTACAAAACAACAACAAAAAAAGGACATTCTAATCTTACTGGTTAACGATCGACTAATGAGCTTCGTTTGGCGGTCAGGAGTATAAGTGATATATTGTGCTGTATAGACATTTTTATTGTAGGATACATTGATTGTAACTTCTCTCTCTTTCTGTACTGTATTTTATGTACATAATTTTGAAGCTTTATTTTTACTATTTACTATTGAAGTTTTATATTTACAATACTCTGATGCATGCATTATTAAATCACAAAAATAAAACCCTATTCTTTTTTCAAAATAAGAATAAAAATCACTTCTAATCTTGAATTTGAGAGAGTAGCACATCTGTCCTGCAATGAAAGAGAGTAGTAAATATAAGAGGTACGTGATGCATTATCTACAGTATGTTGAAGTAATGTTGTCATAAAAAAACATAAGATTGCTCATAGAATTATAGGTAAGAGATGTAACGTAACCCTGAATCGTTAAAAACAGTTTTTAAAGATCTGTTCAATCTGCCAGTGAGCATTTATACGTTAAAAGTAAGCCCAGATCTGTCTTTATCCTATCATCTCCAGTACTATTAGCACCAACTGACCTGATCTCAGATCAGAAACTCTTAGCAACAGCTATTCATGTACGCACATGATAATATATTAACGCTGCCCCGGGCGTCTGTGAGACAGTGATGATTATCTCAATCAAGTACCATTCTCTTTGCAATTTATCTCTCTGACTGTCTCCATCTATCTCCGTTCACAAGGCATTTGATGCACTGCCAGGCACTCTTTCTGTTTGCTGGTGGGTGGTTTTGTAAGCCGGCATACAGCCACGGACCAAAGGGCAGAGAGGGAAGAAACAAAAAATGTTTTTTTCTACAGATCTCTGTATCATAACAAGAATCAATGTCTCTTCCTGAATCTTAAATGAATCTTACAGACCATCTTACACAGTACATGCTGTGGTCAGAGCTTTGTGAATTTGCACAAGCATTTATTTCTCTATGCTTCAACAAGGGATACAGCATACACGGGCTAATGTGTTTTGATGCATTTGTATTTTTATTGGATATGTGTATGCATTCATTTAATTTTCTATAGTTCAATTACAGACGAAGCAACCTCTAGGACCTGCCATATTCAAGTGGTGAACAAAAGTGAAGCAATCGTGTGACATGGCTGAATCTCCGATGCATTTAGTGCACTTCATTTGCAATACAATAATGACACTGGCATAAATTACTATGCATTTAGTTGTGATGTATATCAAGTAATACCCACACTGACAATATATACACAACCATCTTCAAAAAAAAAAAAAAAAAACTTTTCTATATGGTAGAATACTATACACATTGCTACTAAAAGTAAACTCAGGTATGTGGTCTAAGTCTTTACTGGAACATTAAATTTTACTTTTCTAAGCCACAATTATGGATCAGTTTTTAATTTAATGGAGCACAATTACACTAAATACCTAATTAGCGCCTCACATGCTTATAAGAAAGGCCTTTCTAAAGCAATTAAGCAAAAAGATTGTGTGGGATTTGGGAGTTTGGTGACTGTTGGTGTGCGCTGGTTTAATGAAACTCCCACTGCATCTGTTTCAAGCCAGCAAAGATTTGTTTAGCGGGCTGTGTATCACGCCAAACAGTGTGAACACCTATGTATGCGCGAATGTGTATTTTTATGTCGCTTATTCTTTCTCTTCTTCTTCCTTTTCTCCTGCCAATTACATAATTTAGTTAAGGATTCTAAGTTGAGAGCTACTCGACATGACATCATGAGCCATCTGTAGTATACTGGAGATAAGAGCGGCAAGTTTTTCTCAAGATTTAGCAGCCACGCAAACATCTCCAAACCCCAGGACGCCTATGCTGATTTCTGCCAATAAAACATTCAGAGATGTTAGCTAATTACTTGCAAATTGCATCTTTCTTAATAAACGAGCAAATACACTTATGAAGCAGTCTCTTTCTTCCCAGCTTTCTCAGTTTCTCGTTCTCTCTCTCTCTCTCTCGTTTTCATTGCTGTGAGCGAAACGGTACAGAAACTGAAAAGAGGTTTAAACTCTGTCCTTCTGTCATCATGCTTCTCACTACGAGATATCGTGCTGCTAAAAGGCCTTCCAATTTCTTAAAGAGAAAAGGAGCGAGATGGAGTGATAAGGCAGAAAAGTGCTGAGTGTGAAAGTGTGAAAAATGTGTTATCTGCTATGCTGGTCATAGCCCCAGCTCATCGCTCTGACAGAAACACTGACGTTCTCACGCCAATCCCTACCGGTCTCTGCAGAAATCTGGTGACACAACTCGTCTGAATATCTTCCTCCATGGCATGTTGATGTGTCTTTGATGAAGAGATGGCGCCACACTGCTTTTGCTGAGAAGCGAGACAGGCTTGATGCCTGATGACATACTTGAGTTTAGCCACAATCCCAATCCGTGAGTTGAAAAGTTAGTGTGGAATGATCACTTTTTGACCACATTTTTTGGATATTGCATAGGAAAAAGCATCACTCCACTTATAAAAAGTGAAAATTTGTAGTCTCTTCAGTTTAAGACACATTTATGATTCAATTTTACACTGTTCCTTCCCAGCACATACACTCTCAGTCCCAGTTACAAAACAATATGCTTTTTTTTTTCTTCTGTGAAACACAAAATGGACTACTTTTATAGTATTTGCTTGTTTTGTTGTGGTTTTGTTTTTTTGGAACTTGACATCTGTGGTCACTTTACAAATGCAGAATAAAAATTTAAAACTTAAAAACGTCAGTTACACAAATACACAGCATGTGGGTTTGAACCAACATGAAGGTGAGTAAATAATGACTTTCGAATATTACTTTAAGAAATTATGCTCAAACAAGAGCCTCAATCCCATTCCCCATTAATATATGAATAGTTGCTCAAAAAGAACATGCTCCATGCTATGCTGATGCTGCAGCTTATTATCAAACCACATATGCCTTAGTGTGTTAGAGCTCTTAGACCTTCAGTCACTCCCTTGGGCAAAGTGAACTCAAGAGTAACAGCCAGGAAACACATTCTATTGCATAAGTGTGGATTTAATTGAAGAATGGCTGCACCATGCCTAAAGCTGCAAACGGACTCTCTTTCGCACTGGTACACCATTTTTAAAGCTCTGTGGTTTTAGTTGGAGATCCTACAGCTGATTCTGCCCATTGAATCCTGGGAAATATTTTCAGTGGATCGCATGACGAGGTGCACATTGCCTCTGCAATAGCATCAAGTTGTTTCACGAGTAAATTACTTGTGCAACATTGCAACTGAGAGCAGTCAGATGAGAGAAAGAGATGGAGTGCAAATCTATGACAGCTATGTGACAAAGTTTTTTAACTGGTAGGATTAAAAAAGGTATAAGACTGAATGCCATTTTCCCCTACTTTCTTGCTACAGGATTCATGCTACATTCATCAACATTTTGAATATGACCAGTCATGTGAGTCTTTGCAAACCAACTTTCAAACCAAACCTTCAAACTTACCTCAAGCTGTTCATATATAAGACAAGGAAGATTGTTTATGTCTTAAAAATAAATCATTTGAATGCAAATTCTAAAACAAAATTCAAAAACAAATAACTAGATAAAACGCTCTGGCGTTTAAACACTTTCCATTCGATGTCGATTTGCCTGAGAGCCCCAAAAGATTTACATCCAATCCAGAGATGTGAATAACTGCACCTGCTACATTCGTTATCAAAAATATCAGTTCTGCGCAGCGCTCTTAAAACGGATTAATTAATGAGTCTGCACTCTCTCTGGACTCAAATCTGCTCTGCTTCTTTAGAGAAGCGCAAATGAGCTCAAGCTCTTGAGAAATAAAAATGCTTAATTCCTCACAGTGAACAGAAAAATACATATGCAAAATCGTCAACAAATCATATAACCTACATTTGCACATACATTGTTTAAAGAAGCAGATTTAGGATGAAGTTCAAAACCTTCTGGCAGACAACATTTTATCTCATTTTAATGTATACCAATAAGCAGGTACAAAGTTTTAACATTATTACTCTAGTATTTATTTATGTTACTTGCTTTAATTGGCTAGAAAGTAATTCAATAGTGACAATTCTTCAGTTTTACTAGTAATTAGCTACTAGTACTTCCAGTAGCGATTAGTGTATATTCAATTAGACGCTAGTAACATGACACTAGCATGAATATGTGACTAGTACACTAGAATTTACTGTCACTATTAACATTACAAGTTACATTTTATTTCACTTGTGATATGTAATATTAGTCTAAATGGATACTTTATGGTTCAATACTAGAAACAACGGGAACACACTAGTGTCTACTAAAAGGGTATGGTGTCTATGTAACTAGTACTTGAAAAACTTGAAAAGATACTAGCGAATATTTGAGAGGGGAAAATGCAATTTGTTACCAGCAACAAATGGAACAGTAAGTATTAGTATGTAATGGCTAAGCTGTTGTAACCAGTTCAATAGATAAAATAGCCGGACACTACTGAAACCAGAACTAGCCTAGTGTTTAAAGAATTGATACTTTTATACTGATAAAAATACTAGACGCTATTACTCGAATTAAATAAAGTAAAAGTATTTCTTGTTAATACGGCTTGCCACAATACACATGCATGTATTTGTAGAATGTTGGAATATGTTACAATAAGAGAATTGGGCAACAATAGGACAACAAAATAAACGTCCTTCAAATCATCTCCTTACTTAATCTTTCAACCAGTGACCGCGCGAAACAAACACGCAACATCGTGCACAAGAATTTAAGAGGTATGTCCGAATAGTTTGACAGGAGACAGCGGGACTTACCTTGATCAAGTAGCCGCAATGAGTGCTGGAAGGACGGGTCCAGAGAATCCTTCTCCGCCATTAGTTCTGGCAAGTACTTTTCGTTATCCATCTCGCCCCGTGCTTTTTGTCCGACAAAAAGCAATTGTCAGTTGTAAAAGGAGAAATGTAAGATCCTGCTGTTGTCCTAAAGCAACCCAGACAAGATGCGCACCAGTCAGAGATTCTATCAGCGGCCGGTGAGCATCTACAAGATAATGTGGAGTTTGCTTTTTTCTTTAGGTGCGATGGTGATAACTACTGTCCATGCGCTTCCCAAATGGTTCGCTTGTAGCCCATCTGCAGGAAATTCGCCGATGCCTCCGTCCAGTCAGAGTCCTCCAGTCAGACTGCCGCTCTCAACTGTAAACAACTGCTTTGAAGCTCCCCCTGTTGTATCCACGGGCAACGACTGCAAGTACCAGATCCTCAGTTGATTGGATGTAGCTGGTGCCGTTTGGTGAGATATCGGATACCCAGATGTCAATCATTCCCTGAGGGCGGGGCGGGTGTGGAATTGTCCGAGGTGCTGCAGTTTCTCGCGAATGTGGTGATTAGACATGGGAATCGGAAGGAATCTTGATGTTTGTGATTCTAGTTCAGATTCAATTTCATGCCCTCAACGGTTCCATTAACGATTCTTTTTTAGTTCTGTGGAAGACATTTTTGGGAAAGCATTTGTTGGCGCATTTAATCTCCACATCAGTCTGTTGCCAGTGAGATAAATTCAGATTTCAAATGGTGTTTACATAATTATTCATGACTTTCGGGGTCCTATAGAGGTGACTAACACAAAAAAAAAAAAATTTAATATTTAATCCATTTTTAAAGAATACCAACAAAGCCATGTGTATCAGTCAGCATAAGTCAACATGCTCAACAGTTCTCAGTTTTATTTGGAGACTGAAATTACGAAAGTAATAACCTTCAATGGTTCAGTCAGCAACTCAATCAAAAGTGATTTTGACTGACCAGTAGAAACTGGCTCATCGCAGAAATTTTCTTTTGTGTCATTTGTTTGGGATTTGGACAATATTGGCCAAGCTTGGTGTATTTTATTCACTAATGCGACTAATCAGATTGTTGCACTGTATGGTTTTAGTACATCATTTTAGTACAGTGTTCGGTCTGCATCAGCGGAGGAATGCATGTTCAAGAACCTTTAATGGAATCTAAAGCAGCGAAAACCATTCTATATTATTTTTAATGTAATCAGTTCTTATTAAGAATGAACAAAAACAATGAATAGCTAATTTAACTAATAATAACTGAATAAGTAGTGATTTGCGATATCTTGGCAAGAGGCCTTACTAAAAGACCTTGGGCTGATTTGGCAGATTTTAACGTGTAAAATTGAGTCTCAGTTTTGAGTCTCTCTTGTTTCTTACTTACCCGCTATACTTCCGTGAAAAGATTTCAAATTGTGGAACAATTCAGAAAAGAGGTGATCACAGCTGTTCCAAAAAGAAACTATCATTTCAAGTGTTACTGGAACTACCAGTGCAAAACAAGATTTGTGCATACCTGCACAAACACAGAGAGAGCACAATGATTCGTGAGCCAAAAGATACAGGTATATGCAGACCACATAAAGTATAACAAAATACATACATTCAGAAAAACACATACATCTGTGTAACCCACAACATTAATACCCAAATAAGGTCAAAGTGGTCTCATGACTGCAGGCTTACCAACCGCAGAGTTACTCTGCCTCCATGTCAAAACGCAGCAGCATTAGACGCCAATCAAAACTGATGTGTTGCCATGAGGGACATGCCACACGCATGGCCAGTAGCTGCAACAGAGACATGCCCCAAATTAAGATTTTTTTAAATGAACAGCTGAAATGTAGGGGAAAAAAGTGAGCTGTTTTACTGTAATGCCTGACCTCCACAGACAGCCTGGGGAGGGTTAAACTTAACTCAAGAGCGAGTCATGTATCTGTAAAATGGTAGCTCAACGCTTACTGATGAGGTTATGCATGGGTAATATGACAGATTGAACACAGGAAAGAGATGCTGCCAGTATTTCACTGGGGAGCGATCGGCCTGCTCATTGAGTTATGTTTGGTAGCACCATGTATGTGGTAGTGTGGTATACATTCATAGTTTGCTCCCTTTGTTGTCTCCTGGATTCAGTCATTAAAAATTGATTATTTTGGTAAAAGCACTCACAGATTACTTTCCCTAAAGAGACACAGCCAAAGGAAGAGCAAAAATGCATTCACCGCTGTGCCCTTTTTCCTGTTTGGAGGGGAAGAGTGGGCGAAGAGGTTAAAGATCACTGTAGGAGCATCTCATACACAGTTAATCAAAAATCTGAACTAATTTATGTTGGAGAATTTTTTCATACCTAATCAATGCATGGTTCAGTCACTGCAGTGCATCACATCATGAATCTCCTTCCATGAGCAGATCGACAGAGCAATCCAGAATATTTTTGCAGAAATTTATTCAGGAACATCTGGACATGTTCTTCATTTTTAAAGTAATGCAGTAATGCTATGCAGTCTTGACTGATCTGCATTGCATTAGATTACATTAGGCGTACACTATCTATCTATCTATCTATCTATCTATCTATCCAATCTTGAACAAAATACACCTCACCTTCATTTCTAAAAGATGCCATAACAGTTCACTGGACATATATGATGTTTGGTCCAGGTCTCCACCGCACTGTGCAGATAAAAGTGTCCGATCATTTGCACCATGTGTAGTGTGTGATTAATCAGATCTCAACTCCCATTAGAGGCTCACACTCTCAGCAGGTTCTTTCTCCTCACTGCTAATGACCGAACTCAAGAGTCACCACAAAGGAGCACCATGGAGAGCCTTCAGGTCACAGTTTTGTTCAAGGCCATTTTATATCCGTTTGTCAACAAACAAAAAGAGAGGTCGAAGAGCCAAATGAAACAAAGTCATCTAGTGGCGAAGTGGGCTGTCTCATTATACCAGTCAGGGGAAGTTCTCAAGTTTTCAGTTGTCAGAAATGGAAAAATATAAAGGTGGAGGCTTAGGTGGGTGTATTGGACTGTAGGCTGCGGAAACAAGTTGCATAACTCTGAATGTCAGAGTTCTGATGAGCCAAGCCCACTCTATTCTCACCAACCCCGATCCACGGTTTTGAGACCGAAAAAAAGTTCTATGTATATCAGCACTTTTATGTTCATCCGCATCAAACTTTGAGGTGACGCCCAATCTTGAACAAAATACACCTCACCTTCATTTCTAAAAGATGCCTGGACAGTTCACTGGACATATATGATGTTTGGTCCAGGTCTCCACCGCACTGTGCAGATAAAAGTGTCCGATCATTTGCACCATGTGTAGTGTGTGATTAATCAGATCTCAACTCCCATTAGAGGCTCACACTCTCAGCAGGTTCTTTCTCCTCACTGCTAATGACCGAACTCAAGAGTCACCACAAAGGAGCACCATGGAGAGCCTTCAGGTCACAGTTTTGTTCAAGGCCATTTTATATCCGTTTGTCAACAAACAAAAAGAGAGGTCGAAGAGCCAAATGAAACAAAGTCATCTAGTGGCGAAGTGGGCTGTCTCATTATACCAGTCAGGGGAAGTTCTCAAGTTTTCAGTTGTCAGAAATGGAAAAATATAAAGGTGGAGGCTTAGGTGGGTGTATTGGACTGTAGGCTGCGGAAACAAGTTGCATAACTCTGAATGTCAGAGTTCTGATGAGCCAAGCCCACTCTATTCTCACCAACCCCGATCCACGGTTTTGAGACCGAAAAAAAGTTCTATGTATATCAGCACTTTTATGTTCATCCGCATCAAACTTTGAGGTGACGCTCTGTATGTTTACTGTGTGGACGGAAAGCTTCAAGCAATCGATGAAATGTTTATTTATAGGTACCAGTGGGTTGAGTAAATGGTGTGGTTAGTTTTGGGAACAGCTAAAGTTAGAGACAGGAGACAGTTAGCTGGTATTGTATACACTGCAAACTAAGGGATGAAAGAAGGTTAGCACTATTTGTTCGTACCTTAAAAACAGCCTTCAGATGCAATCACATTAATTTTTACAAAATTACTTCTGACCACGCAACACTACAAACCACAGAGCTTTAAAAAATGACCTCTTTAAACAGCCAGAAGGTCAACAATCTCTGATATTCACCTACTGGTCAAATGTCCTTTGGTTATGCAAATTTGCAGGACAGAGTTAACCAAACTTGTACTTTGAAAAAAAGAAAAAACTTTGTCACTTGTGCTTGTGTTTCCAGTCTTTAGTGCTCACACATGCATGAAAATATAGTCCGTCGGCACCTTTAAGAGACAAAAAAAAAAAGGACATGGTAAGAATTTGAAGACTGCGACCCAGCATACATGATCACGGCAATTTTGAATTATGATACCTGTGTACACATGTCTGCCTCTGGAAAAAAAAGGTCATTGCAAAGCTTAAGGGGCAATGTTTTAATCTCTGCGAGGGACCATTAAAAACAAGCTCAGAAGCACTAATCTCCTTCTCTGAAACATGACTTATTTATAGATATGGTTGCCATCTGGTGCTGTTCTTCTCCAACGTTTCGGCACAAGATAAATCTGCTCCATTAATGGGCTCTTGTCTTTGCATCCTGCTCTTAATTGCAATATATCACACCATAAAACAATAAATAAACTTTGCTGAGTTGGTTACGATATGCTAGTTGTTTCACGACGCACAGCCAAACGATTGCATCCCAGTGGTCGTTACTGTGACAGAGAGTGGTTTTAATCATATCTTAGGGAGGTTACCTGCTTGACAGCGCTGCCAGGAGACTCTCCATTTAATATCTGTCTCATAAATACCACCTTAATTACACAGCCCAGGGGAAATGACTAACACCCAAGGGCGTTGTGATTCTTTTTGTCCTAACAACAAGAAGCCAAACATCTGCAGGCATTTGTTTTCACTATAAAGCCATTAGAGTATGACAGAAAGTCACTCAATTTTAAAAACACAACTGTGTTGTCATTTTAACTTTCTGACTTTGCTTTGTTTTGTAGTCCTGTATTTTAGTAATGATGTTAAGTTTAAAGACCTACACGCGTCTTTAACGAGTAAAAACTGTTAGCATATGCATGCCTTCGCGACTAATGAATTCGTCTCCTGACAGGAACAGAGCTCACCTCAGGAATGAAGAGTGCTGACATATATTTAGCAGCTAATTTGAACGTTTTACCACTGTCACGGGGAGGATCTTACAGCCCGCGTGCCTTTCACTACTATCCCATCGCTCACGAGAAGAAATCACACAAAGCCCGCTTAAACGTGACACCGGCACGCGTGCGAAAAAGGCGTGAGTTTTGGGAAGAGGAACGCGCGCCTGTATTGAAAGTGGCAACACT